AGAAAAAGCTTTCAATGAAATTCAACATCGCTTGGTGAAAAAGAAACACCAACAAGTTAAGTACAGATGGAATTTACTCCAACACAAAGAAAACTGTATGTAACAGTCCCATAGCCAACATGTACAGTGGAGACAACCAAAAGCACTCCTCTAACATCTCAAATGAGGCAAGAACAGCCACAATGGTAACTCTTATTCTACACAGTGCTGGGATCCTAGCCAGGGAAATTAGATAGGAAAAGAAATAAAAGGATCCAAGTTGGAAAGGAGGAAGTCGTATTACCCCTATTTGCAGGCAACCAACGTGATTTTTTAAACATGATTTTTATATAGAAAAAAATTCACCAGAAAACTGTTAGAGTGGATGAGTTAATTCAGTAAAATTGCAGAATACAAAATCAACATACATGCAAAAATTGGTAGCAATTTTACACATCAGTAATGAACTTCATGAAAAAAATCAAGAAGATACCCTCACTTCTGATAGCTGTAAAATAATGCTTATTATTAATTATAACCAAGAGAATGATCACTATGCTAAAAACTACAAAGCAATAGTAAAAGAAACTGAATGAGGAGGCATACATGAAGAAGAGAAAAGGGGCCAGGTGTGGTGGCACTCGCCTGTAATCCCAGCACTCAAGAGGCTGAGACAGGAGGATTGCTGCAAGTTCAAGACCAGCTTGGGCTACAAACTAAGCTCAAGGCCAGCCTGAACTGCATAGCGAGACCCTGTCTCAAAAAGACCAAAAATAAATAAATAAATAAATGAAAAGGATCCCATGTTCATGGACTAGAAGAATTATTAGTTAAAATGTTCATACTACCAAAAATGATTTACAGATTTAATGCACTCCCCATTAAATACTAATGACACTCTTCACAGAAACAGAACAGCAGTCCTAAAATATACAAGGAACTGTGCAACGCACCAAATAACCAAAGCAATCTTGAGCTGGAGGCATCAAAACAAGACTCAGAACAGCCTGGTAATGGTGTGAAAACCAGCATCTACCCCACCGTGACAGGAGAGAGAGCCCCAAAGTACACACACATGCCCACAGCCAACTTATTTCAAACACTGTTAGACAGCAATATATGAGATAATATTTGATTCATGTTGCAAACTAATCTCCGCTTGCTAAAATGGGCGGGTTCCTCCCTGGACCCCCATCCCTGGTCTTAATGCCGCAGAGGACTCTGGGGACACTGGGGCAGGGAGACACAGGAGCCCGGAGCACAGCTGGGTAGGCCACCCGGCCTTGCTAAGGAACAGTAACTCCACAACGGAACTCGCATCTGACTAGGAAGCTAAAAGGCATTTTGTAGTCGAGAAATTTGGTAAGATTGGATTAAACACACTGTTGGCATAAGATTCTGAAGGTGTACTAACCCCCACTGCTCCTGCTCACTTAGGGGAAAACTGTATCGTTCCAGCGTCCTCGGATTCTGTCCCATCCCCACACTGCTTTATTTGTAAACAAGCTCTCTATTTGTTAGAAGTATCGAGGCCGAGCATATCCACAGATTTCGATTAGCGCCACCGCACTAGCTCTGGTGGTACAGATTTACCTTTTAAATGCGCAGTTAGCTCTCAGGTAAACTGTGGGAAGAACACCAGCTATTCCTGGCCTGCTGGCCCCTCTCCTCCCATGGCCGCGGGCCTCCTCTTGGCATCTTGCCTGACGACAGCAGCCTCCCGGATTCTGGAGCAGCGCAGGACCACAGCTGTGACCTCTGCTTGCTGCGTCTGGACCCAACCTGTCCCTTCCACCTCTCTTGACAGTACTTTGTTTCCCTCACAATTCCTGACAACGTTGTTGCCTTCATCTGTGTTAGTGGTCCTTGTTCTGCAATCTCTTTTTTTATGAGCTAATTCTTTTGTATGTTTGTTTTTTCCTTCTGGCTAATTTCAAGATTTTCCCTTTACCTTTGTTTTCTGACCTTTCACCACAACTACCTAGGTGTTGCTGTCTTTATATTTTATGTGCTTTTGCTTAGACTTTCATTAGGTTTTTGGATCTGTAAGTCATTTTTCATCAAATTAAGCAAGTATCTGGCCATTATGTTCTTTAAAACAGAACAAAACTTATGTGCCAGTATCACTTGGTTCTCCTTATGGGCCACCTACTATGTATATATCTTGGCATCTGACATTACACATAGGTCCCTGTGGCTCTATTCAGTTGTCTTCAGATTTTCCCTGTTCTTCAGATTAGATTTCTTTTGATGTCTTCGGTCGCTCACCCTTGCTTTGACCACCTGCTCTTGTGCCTGTTGAGTGGCTTCTCACTGCAGCTGCGCCATGACTTCCGCGAGCTCGGTATCATTTCCATCTCTTTGTTCAGATCCCCAACCAATGTGTTCACTCGCTAAGACTATGGTGTCCTTCAGCTCTCTGAGCACGTTTCAAAGATGGCTCGAGAGTCTCTGCCCAGTGAAACGTCTGGACCATCTCCGGGTGGGTTTCCACCCGCAGCTCTTTCTCCCAACTATGGACCTTCACCTCCGTGTTTCTCAATACAGCTGGTGAATTTTTCTCAACTTGACCCTGGACTTTGGATGTATTGTGGAGACTGTGGGTTCTGTGAGCCTCCTCCTTCCCGCATTAACTGCTGTGGGAGCAGAGAGCAGTTACAGAGTGGCCAGCATGAGTGTGGGCAGTGCACCCAAGAGGCCACTCTAACCTGGTTGGACTCAGTGTTCACCTCCCTGGGTGTCCCCGTGTGTCAGGGTGGGGCTGGTGTTCGGTCTCAGGAGCACAGGGACAGAGCAGGTGTCCACTAACCCACAATCTCACGCCGTGGCAGTTTTCCCGGGGCCTCATCTGGATGCCGTGGGCACTAATGTGCTGTCTCACACTGCACACTGGCAGGGCCGGCTCTGCATGCAAAGCCCCTGCTCTGCCTCTACCCCCACCCTGCCAGTGGCTCTCTGATCCCCTAGCCTGGCCAGAGTTAAGAGGATAGCCCAGCCCTCAGCCAGACTCAAGGGACCTGCGAGGGCTCCGGAGCCTCTGGTTGAAAGGCCTTCTCCTCCCCTCCATCCCACCCACACACTCACCTGCCTCAGAAACCCAGCTAACTAACTCCAGGTTTTGCTAACTCCGAGGGACCCCTGAGTTCTCCGCAGGTTCCAGCCGGAACGCAGGGCACAGGGCTCCCTGTGATGTTTGCTGTCCCTGGCTGGTGTGATTGGTCAGCTGTCCCCATGGTCTGTAACTGGAGGCCACTCCAGCACGGCAGCTGCCTGCCATTGCTTACATTGACTCGGCCTACAAACATTTCCCAAGTGCTCACCATGTGCTGAGCAGGAACGCAGAGGCCTTACCCTCGAGAAGCTTATGGTCTAGGGAAGAAAACAGATTCTAAACAAGTCACCAACCCCAGAAACAATCCGGAGTTAAAACTGTGGCATGTGCCGTATGTCAAATGCAGAAGGCAGGGGGAATGTACCGGGGAAGCCCAGTCTGGGCTGAAGAAGGAAACCTCCTAAACAGGAGCCTGGAGAGACGGCAGCAGTGAAATGCAGAGGGACAGTGGCCGGATCAGGAAGACCCCCAGGACCTGAGGAGAAGAGGCGGGACACAGAGGGGCCTGGGTCCCTTGGGAGCATGCAGCTAGCATCCTTGTTTTTTGTGGCTGGGGCCAGCGGAGGGGAGAAACTAGAATCCATGGTGGACTGAGGCTCCAGAGGTCACTGACACTGACACCAGGGCGAAGTCAGCTCCATGGAGCTGTCGGGGAGGTAAGCATGGGCCCCAGGAAGGTGTTTTTAGTTGCAAAGCACTACTTTTATACTATTTCTGAAAATATTTCCAGAATCTTCTTCATGCTGATTAAGAAATGTCAGTTGGACTAACAGGGTGGCTCAGTGGCTAAGCCCTGGCCCAGCATGGCAGAAAAAAACTATGTACCCACTCGTGTTTTAGGACAGCCCTTCACATGGTCTCCAATTTGCTTATTTCCAGCCACTCAAAATAGGCAATTTTTGCCCAGTATAGATAAATATTGATCATTCTGGTCAATTTTGGCCTCAATTATCTGGTAACTAAAGTATTTTATTCTGGAAGAAGGCAATTAATACTCAGCTTTAGCCGGGCATGGTGGTGCACGCCTGTAATCTCAGCACTCGGGAGGCTGAGACAGGAGGATCCTTGCAAGTTCAAGACCAGCCTAGGCTACAAAGTGAGCTCAAGGCCAGTTTGAACTGCATAGTGACACCCTGTCTCAAAACAAAACAAAAATACTCAGCTGCATGTTGTACTTTTTCAAACTATTGCAAAAGGAGCTAAGCTTGTACAGTAAAAGTAGGCATCACTTCTGTGTACGAAACCGACATGACACAGACTGTCTCTGCGCGCGCCTGTGTGTGTGCTATGAACAGCTACAAGCCCATCTCTGTGTGCATAGATAACCTCGCCTCAGTGTCACCTCACATACATTTTATTCGTCTAAATTACTCAAAATAAAATGTATGGCGTGATGTAATGCAACCATATATTGTGTACAGTTTGTATATAAAAAAGAATGATTAAAAGTCGATGAGAGACTGTTTATAAATCTTGATTGCTTCATAATTTTAACTTTGAGCAACATTTTTATCATAATTATAGGCTTTCTTAAAGCATTTATGCAGATTGTTGTTACTCAAAAGGGGGTTTATTCCATTTTGGTATAAACTACACTTTTTTTCTTTATGGAATCACTCTTTGGGTTCCTAATACCCAGTGCTCAGCCAGAGATGCAGAATTCACAGAGCAGAGAGCCCTCGCTGGCAGGGTGGGGCTCCCCTCGGCCTCCCTGGACACAGTGAGGGAGACTCCTCCCGTGGTGTTGCATGCACCCTGCACGGATGACTCAGGCTCTTCTCTGAGGGCTGTGCTTGTAGCACATTTCCATTCCCACTTCACAGATCAAGAAACTGAACCCCAGAGGCTTAAACCATGGCGAACGTCCTAGTATTCAATCTAGCATCAAGCATTCCACTCAGAAGAAGGATCCCAGCTCCGCTGAGTTCTGCTACTTTATTTTTGAGCCTGGAAAACTGAGGTCCGACAAAGGAGAAGCCACTGGCCACTGCCATGGCCAGACATTTGTCCACACTGTGCTCAGGGAGCGACAACTCACTGAAACTCAGGCTGAATTATGAGAGGCTTCAGCATCTTGTAAACTCACAGCCAGAAAACAGATAACTTTTTCTCCAAGGAATCTTCATTTTCACGTGATCACAGACCTAAGAGAAAAGAAGAGGAAGAAAATGCATTACTAAAAACAAAGAAAAAAGATGTAAGAAGTAGATACCAGATGAACAGGAAACACAGTAGAAGACAGAGAAATTGCCTCATAAAATGGCCAGCGCTCTGGCAAATCCATCTACAAACCTCTGCACAGTCTGAGACCAGAGACTGATCCTGCTTCCCACCCAGAATTATATCTTCAAGGTCTAAAAAGAGTGCTGGACCCTAGTGGGAGCTCAGTACATATCTATGGGTAGAGGGAGGGATGGAGGGAGGGTAGGGTGGATGGAATGGATGGATGCAGGGATGGATGGACAGGCGGACAGATGGATGGACACATAGATAGATGGGTAAATGGATGCACAGATAGATAAATGGATGGACAGATGAAGACCTGACACAAAAACCCTACCAACAATAAGGAGTATGACGGTTGGTCAACTATTGTTTATGAAGTAAGGAATGGGAATCCCCGTTGTGCATGAGTTCAAGTCAAGGAATAAGTCTTTATTGACTGGGGCAATAAGAAGTTTAAGATTTGATCACTGTTTCTACAAAAAAGCTAAAGTGAATACCAATAGCAGGAGACGGCAATCAGTTGCTACGTCCGCCTCAGACGCTTAGAGCTCTGTGAAGCCACACCAGGGGAAACAGAAGCCTCCCTCAAGGACAGGAAGTCAACCTCCAGAGGGGCCTCCCCAGCTAGACCACAGGGGCTACCTGCTTGACCCTGCTCTCTCCACTGTGCCCACACCAGGGTTCAGGGGGAAGGTCTGCCAAGGAGGAGGCGGTGAGCTCAGGGTGATGTTCGAGCGCTTTTCCTTCGTGACCCCACATGGTGGTCAGAGTAACCCAGCAGTGCAGGTGTCACAAGACAGGCAAGGTGAAGTGACAGCCCAAAGCCACAGTTCGGGACACAGCATCCAGGCCAGCTGCCCTGCAAATGCCAGGCGCCATCTCTCCGTTGGGCTCCTCCAGATGCCACCACTGTGCCAAGACCACTGAGGAAAGACCAAAGGCCAGGGAGGACTCCTGACATCAGCCAGGGCCTGACATAAGCATCTGGAAGTTTTCAGAGTTATTTTAATTTCTCAAGTGAAATGTGTTCTAATTATGAACTGCCTGAGAAGGCCCTTTATTCATGTATAGTATATTGTTATAGGTTTTATATTATGAACTACATTATGTCATATACATATTATATATGCATATATACATGCGTACATCAGCAAACTCCTCCTCCCCGCGCAGACAATGTTCAAGGTCTTCTCACGGACAGTATGCACCTCTTCGGTGAGGCCTTCTGGCAATTTCTAACATGAGAACCAGAATCCAGGACCTCTGGTGAGGTTGGCTCTGACTCGGAGATGATTCTGATGCTCCCATTTTACTCCTACTCAGCGACCTTCAGTTCCACTCTCACTGCATCTGGTTTCCTGTGTGGTTCGATGATTGGAGAGAACGGGGCAGAGAAAGAAGAGGGGAGCTGAGTCCACTTCAGCGTGAAGACAGAAACCTAACAAACCGCACCATTCATCACTGTACAGCTCGCTGATAGGCTCCACTCCAATCCTTGGGTAGCTTCGTAGAGACCTCTGACCACACGTGAACTCAGTACCTCTAGTGAGGGTAGCTAGAACGTAAATCTGGAGAAGTCTCTGAGGGGTGGATGGAGCCCAAGGACATGAAACCAGGCTCTGCACGGTAAGCAATACTGCACGGGCCAGAAGGTCAGTTGGCTCTGGCTGATCTTGTAAGGTCCTGCTGTTAAGGGTGATTTTCCAAAGCCATGCCCCTGTCCTGGTAGCACCTTCTGTCTGAATGGTGTCCTCCTTCCACGAGTAATCTGCAGCCTTTGAGCACGCCCTGTGCTCGAGCTGCAACCTCAGGACCTCGCTCAGCCTGCACCCTTGAACTTAACCTGCACCTCCTCACTGCACCCTGTGACTCTGAGGGGCACCACATGCCCCTCCCTCTAAAGCTTTGAGTCCTTTGTGACCTCACATGGCTACGCGGGAAGGACCTCTGGCCCAGTGTCCTGTGCACTGCTGGCCCTGAGCACAGGTGCTCCTGGGGATGGCGGCTGTCCCTGTTAACCCCTGCCTCCCCAGATGCGTCTGCACTTCAGGAGAAGCCCTGGGATTGGACCCCTTCACATGGGGGAGAGTGGACTTGGGTCAGAATGAGTTAATCCTGTGGACCTGTATAAACAAACTGCTTTAGAAACCCAACACATCTGTTTCCCCATTAAAACACGATTAAGATTAATGCACAAAGAAGCTGTGATCACGCTAACCTGCCCACCCCCCTCCCCCCCCAGCAGCCTCCACTCTCTGTGTTTTCAGAGCATTGGGGGCACTGAATGACACTTTGATCAAACCCATCAGTGAGGCTCCTTGGGTCTCCGGTTGGCCTTACAGTGCAGTGAAGTGCAATCATGCTGCTGTAACCTCTGTTTAAAGTAGACCCTAACTGAAAGATTCATAGTCATTTTAAAAATACCCATTGGAAGGAATGTGCAGTGCAGTGAAGTAGCTTCTGCAAGGGAAAGCCCTGAGCATTTAAAAAAAATCCTCCAAGCACATACTTGCCCTTCTTCACATCTTACAGTCCCATCAAAAACTCTTTATTTCAACCTTCCAGTTGCACGTTTCAGTTCCAAAGTGAAGAGCAGTTTGTGGGGTATGGTAATACAAAGGGACGGGAGACGCGGCTCAGTCCCAGGCCCAGTGCAGGCCGTGCTGTAAAAGTCTAACAGTGATTAATCCGGGTGGCACAGGCACTGTAATGGGGTCTGCAACTCAGGCAGCTTGGCGTTCTGGGGACATGTTGGGCAGCGCGAAGATGAACATTTGGAAAGACATCTCAAGAATGACTGAATCTCTGAGCAAGTGAATGTAGATATTCTTGCTGCAGAGTAATCTGCTCCTGACACTCAGGGAGAGCAACCGTACAGGTGCCTCACCCAGCAGCCACACCCAAGCAGTCTCATCTTGGGAGGGAGATACAAAGGCCGCAGGGTTCCTTTGTGCTGCTAGGCCTTGCTGAGGTCTGGCAGGTCGCAGACATCCAGGTGACCTTGGCCATGCCAGCGAGGGTCTCGGGTGTTTTGTTTTGTCTCCAGGCAAGGCAAGCTAGGAGGAAGCAGGGCTGCACCAGCCATCTGTACCCCAGACCTGCAATGCAAGAGGGGAGCAAGCTGGGCTGAGAAGGCAGAGCCTGGGGGTGTGTAGAGGTATGCCCCAAACCCTGCTAGGCTCCTTTCTGTGCTCACCCAGGCTCGGGCGGGACAGGTGCGTTCTTGCTTTTAAGAATTCCCAGGTAGGCTTTGCAATGCCCCGGGCCAGGTTATGCCTTCTAGGGGTGTTCATCCTCCCAATGCTGGGGACCTGGGTATACTGGGGCTCCCAAGCGCAAGACCTAGACGTGGGTTACAACTCCACTTCATGAGCCCCATTGATACGGATTTGACATCTGTTTGCCAGAGTGTTTCACACTTAGCCTAACACCCACTATTAAGTGACAGAACTGTGGCAGCCTGTCAAAGCCAGCTGACTGGCAGCTGCTCGGCTCACAAAAACCATTCAAATATTTGCAGGTTTGGAAGCTTTATGTAGTGCTGTACCCAATCTCTCAGTGATTTAGCATGTAAAATATAAGTCAGAGTTTTTAATCGGGCTTCCAAAATGTTTCCATTTTCCATACAAAAGGGGGGAGCTTTCAGGGTGCCCGCTGGAACAGGTCCAACCCCAAGGCGTCTTGGTTCCCACCTCCAGATTCTTCAACAAACCCGAGTTTTAAAAAATGTGAGGACCAGACTCTCTCTTCCTATCTTCACTGACCCGTAGGACTCCTGAAACAAACCATCCTCAACTCTGAGAGAACTGCTTCTCAAAAGTAGATGAAAATAAAGGCTACCCGAGGAAAGACACCCACCTGCTTTACTTCCCCCTGACCGTGACTCCCAGCACCTTTGGGGGCAGCGTGTATTCCCAGGCATGTCTGAGCTCTTTGGCGACTTTCAAACACTAACCCCATGATTAGGAAATAGTTTGCAACTGACACCGTATTTCTATTCCTGCAGATTGAGATCCGTTGAGGAAAAGTCATGTGGGCTTTTTGTCCTCGAGATTACAGCCAGAAAGAGAAGGACATCCTGGAAACTGCAGCTGTGAGCCCTGGGGGAAAAAATAAAAATTACCATGCATTCCTTCCAGGGAAAAATGCGGCTAAGCACCCAGTCCAAGCGGACTGGAAAGCGGCAGGCTTGACAGCCGCGTGGGCTGTACCTGTTCTTTTCATTGATTGCTTCTTATGTGTTAGTAAATATCTTCCCTTCGGGTGGGAAGGGGTTATACTGTAATTTCTTTGGGCAAAACGTGGGGTCATCGTTTTCCAAAAAGCAGACACAGTAGTTTGCTCTTCAAACACTTCCGAAGAGTCTCAGAGGGTGATGGCCTTAGGTCAGGGGTGCTGCTGATATCTTCACGCACGCAGGGCGAGGAGCAGGCAGGCAGACAGACAGACGGACAGACACTCGGACACTGGCAGCAGGGACCGCCGCTGCAGCCCGCGCCCTCTCCAGAGCGCGCATCCCCTCCGCCCACTGAGGAGCGCCCGCCTTTGGCGAGGAGGGCTGGCAGCCGGGTCCTCAGGGGGCTCCCCGCTGACGAAGTGGCGGCGCGCCCCAGGGTCCGTGCGGGGCTTGGTGGCCAAACCGCTGCCGCGAGCCCCGCCCGACTCCCCCTCGCCGCGCAAGCGGAACGCGGCGGCCCAGCGACTTTTACCTGCAGCGCTCCGTGTCCCCGCGCTGTCCCAAAAGCCTCCGCCGCCGCCTCCGGCCGGGGCCCTTGGGGAGGGGACAGTGGAGGCGGTTGTGGAAGAGGAGCCAGGAGGAAGGCAGCCAGCGCCGCTCCCGGGGGAGGCCTGGCCTGGCGCGGCGCCCGTGGCCGCGGTGACCCTCGGCAGACAACGGGGCTCGC